GCAAACAGGAAAGACGGAAGACGCTACACATAAGGAACGTGCACGTACTGCCAATTAGCACCTTCTCAAGTTTCCTTGCATGATCTCAAATGTGCGTGTATGTTGTTCTGAGAGGGGGATTGAAATGTTTTGATCAATGCATATTTTACTTAAAATTGCCAATTAGTCCAAACAATTCTGTTTTATTCGGACTTCACTTTTGTATGCGTGTGGCACGACAGATTTAGTCGTAAAATGTGCATCAACAATTTCAAACGACAAAATGCGAAATTAGCTATGAGGCAAATGTGTTATTTCCTTTGATAAAAGAAACTATTCCTTACGTATACACTTGGAAATTATTGGAAATTATCAACAATTTTGAACGCTTCTCAATATTTGAGTAGTAACTTGAAAACTAGATCACTGAAAGTAATCCTTTACGAGTCATGATCACCCGTTAAGTTATACTCAGTCGTTAATATTTTTCACAAATAAAGATTTAATAAAACTCAAGTTCTAGGCTAATCATGAGTACCCCTGTATAGTTCTTTAACAATGAAAATTAGATAAAATTCTAATTCTAAGATAATTCTAATTCTAAGATATTTCTGTAAAACTTGGACATAATAATAATATGTCCAATGTAAAATTATTTTAATGTATACATTGTCTAATGCAGTCTTATTTAAATTACTGCAAACTACCCGATGGATCTGTCAGACTATTTGTGTGCAGATCTTTATCAGCTATCTACACTGAGGATCAAACCTTTGTCAACGGTGCTAAGTTTTCTTATTCAAATAGCCAAGTCTGAGCATGTTCATGATTTTGCTCGATTATCATAGTACTAGTGTAAATGAGAGAATTGGTCATTTAACGATACCATCTTTTAAAAACCTATCTTTTCTCTTTCAAGAATCAAGTGCCCGTCTTTCACGCGGTTATTTTGTTTAACCACCTTTTATTTTTATTTCATGGACTGGAATGTGTAGGAAAATCCAGAATCTAGAAAAGGATAAGATAGAGATTAAAAAAGAAACAAATTAAAAAGGAAACAAATCTAACAACTCAAAACAAAATTTGACAAAAAAAAGGTAGAAAGACAAATTCAAAGAAAGAAACTTTTTCGTGTTAAGTGCCAACGAAGGTGTAGCAGTTTTCTGCAAAACTGAAGAGGGTGATAAAGAGCGAACTGAAAACTTGGATGGCGTCACATGCACGTATTTCCTTTTATCACCTTTTCAAGTATTTTTCGCCGATCTCAAATGTGGATGCATTTTGAAATGAGAGGACTATTTACAAGTTTTAGTGTTTGCACTTTTTAGTCCAAATGCCAATTGGTCCAAAAAAAGCTGCTTTGTACTTAACCTATTCGCCTACCTGAACATTAATTTTAAGTTTAAAGATGATAAAAGTTATAGCCATACATTCCCAGTTTTTATTATTTTTCTTTTAATTTCTTTCAGAAACCCTGTTGCTGGATCTTGTGGATGACATAACGATTTTGTTGGAAATGTCACTTTCCGTCTCAATGTTACTTCGCTCACCAGTGCGCATAATTATCAACACCATTCTCATGTATGTTTCGTAGACACAAAGGGAGACTACAAAAGCTATTAAAACATTTTCTTTGAATATATATATATCATTAAGACTTTCTTAGCAAAAAAATGAATTCGGCTTTTATCAATTAACTGTCTTCATTGGATTCATACGTGTCACAAGAGAGTGCTGCGTTACTCCTAGGGGGAATGAAGCTTCTTTTCATTGCATCCATTATAATGGGTTCAAGTTTCGTCCAAGTTTACTCGTAAAAAAGATCCGTCTGTTTTTATCCTTGGTAAAAACTAATCTTTCAATCGAAGACTCCTTTTGAACGTCAAAGTCAACAGCATTAACGCATGGGATTTTGATATCTTATACCAAACTGCAACTGGACATCTACATTTCAAGATGCAACATTACTTATTCTTTTCAGAATTTTTGTAGATATTTAAATTTAACAAGTACTCGAATTGTCATTAAAAAATCTGGTTTTTGGTCAGTCATTATGGATATGTCCGTTTTATACATGTAACTCTTTTGGATATATTTTTAAGATAAAAATGGCATATTTATTTTACGTAAAATGGGCATAGTGTAAATTTAACTTATTACAGAATTGGAGAGAGAAAGCAAGGTATTGGTTGGTTGGTTTGTATTAAAGAATTGTTGACGTTAGGAACATTAGTTTGTCGTGCCATAATATTATTAATGTAAAATTTACCTGAAGCTGATGATACAGAGAAGAGCGTTATGAGTACATTTAAAACTTTTTAACCTTAACATGTATAATTTGCTTTTAATAGCAAAATGGAAGTTTATCTTGATGAGAATAACTATCGATATTCTTACACTTAACCATTTAATTATTTTATGTGACTATGTCTATGCATTTGTCCAACTCTTCACGGGATGGCAGATGTCCAATGACAAACGCACACTTTATCGTAATTACGAGGAACGTCACCTCTTTGGCTGTACAGATGATTGATTGTGGTAATTGCCGTAATTATTTTACGTCCAACAGACATGAAATCGTGACATGGGCTTCCTCTGCTTCTGATAAATACTCGGTTTGCTATTTTAAAACGGCACTTGTCCAAGTTTTGGAAACGAGCCGACTGCCTTGGCGGAGGTTGGGTGCTGCATAGCCAATAGCTGTTGTTTTGCAGAATTACGGTGCCATCAAAGGTAAGAAATACCTTTATTGGTCACACTCATCAGTCTGTTTATTTATTTATTTATTTATTTATTTATTTATCACTGCTTGGATTTGAGAACTAGGCGCGTAACAAAGCATATGAGTAAATTTGGTGAAATCAAGGTTGATTGCTGGCTAAAAGTTTTTGATACAAAGATAGTGCCTATTTCAAACTATGGGGCAAAAGTATGGGGCTTGCATCCTGGGCAAGACGCAGAAATTGTACAGAATAAATTCTGAAAATTTAATGTAATAAGAAGAAATGCGTCTAACGTAGCGGCAAGGGGTGAATTAGGAAAAATACTTTAATGGTTGGGCGTTTGGTGAAAATAATTAAAGGGATAATAACTCTTCGTTTTGACCAAAAAATGAATTTTCCTGGAGTAAACAACAATTTTCCCATACTTACCAATGGTTAATGAATCCATTTTGACATTCAAAGTTAGTCTTTGTTTTTTTTTCTAAAAAGTTTGTTTTTTTTGTTAAAATCTCTTAAGAGATTATAACCGAGTATAGCCATCAATGGAGGTCGCGTGATCTGAAGACAAGCTCAGATATCAGAATAATAGCTATAACTGATGTTTTTGTCGTAAAACGGAATATATTATAATTCTATGAGTTATTCACAAGGTTTTTATTGTGAAATATAGATCTCATACGAAGAGTTGTTATCTTTTTAAGCTTATGAAAGCACCTGAAATAGGCTTATTAAAGCGTGTTACGTGTGGCTGTATAATATGACAGAAAACGATAAAGATTGCTTGGCATTACAAGTAAAGAAACTGTTATATGGGTATGATATTGGAATAGCCTGGATTAATCAAGAAATGGGGAGTGAAAGTTCATTTATAAAGGAATTTCATCAAAGGTGCATGGATATTGACTCCCAGTCGTATGAAACTAGATGTTCCGGCTCA